AGTCTTTGGTTCCTAGGGTGATCAGTTAGCATTAGATCAGTTTCTCCCCACTGACTCCACTGGGCATGGCTGAGGGAAATTCCCAATTCCCAGGAGACTAAGAGACAAACTAGGGAGTTTTGGTAGCCTACTGGTATGAAAATGTGCTGCAATCTCAAAGGTATGCTATTCAAATCCACCACTTGCTCCACAGGAGAAGGATGGGTAATCTCCTCCTGAGCCATGAACTGCCTCTGAAAACCTACCTGCTGGAGGGTCAGCTATGGGTTGGACTCCACAGTACACAACAACAGGGAGCAAATTAGGGAGCTCTTGTGGCTCAGTGGTAAGAAGTTGTACTGCTAACCGGAAGGTCAGAATCCACTAGCAGCTCCGCAGGAGAAAGATAGGCAATCTCCTCTTGGTGACTGCCTGCCTATGAAAACCCACTGGAGGGTCAGCTATGAGTCTGTTCCAATGGTCCATAACAAGAGACAAATGAAGGATTTGGAGGGAATAAGGTAAAAAAATTAAGGTGATACTAGAATACCACAACTCTTTATTTGCAGTGTTCTGGCCCTATAATGACGTTGGAGAAAAGGTAGGTTTTAAGTAGGGGAAAAGGGCTGTGGAGAAGCAGTCACCACTGGTCTGGCCAGATTAGGTAATTGTGTTATTCCTGTCTAGCTCATTTCTGTCATGTGGCCAGATATGATGTATGAGGGAAGGAGGAGAGCACCGCTCTACCTGCCCTATTCTCAGTCAGAAAGCTCTTGGTGGTCCGCTCCATTTGAGCACTGACTTGTGTGTTTGGACTCTGAACTCTGCTGCAGGCACTGCGAGCTAGCGGTTGGAAATGCTGATCCGCCTACTACTTGGACTTAAGTGGTTTCTTGGAAACGAATGGCTAGATGCCCAAGGTATCTTTAGCCTGCCCAGGCTGAAAATAAGGTGGGAAAATCCAGCGGATGAAGTGAGTTCAGCAAAAACTGGACATTCTTGACCTTTGTTCTCAGAAACATTTGGCCTGTCAAGTGGATCAACATCAGCCTCATTGTGTGTGTTAGAAGGATTCCTAGTAGCCCTCTAAAACAAATTCCGGTTTCATCCAAGAGGAAATTGAGGGTTGGAGACTTAATCTGGTCTTCTCAAGGCCATAAAGCTAGAGTGTGGTGAAAACAGGACCATAAACAATGCTTTGCCCTCTGTCCTGGGAGTCCAATTCAGGTTGCAGCCTTTCCTCTATAGAGTCTTAGTCCTTAATCAGCCTATACTAACAACCTACCCTTCCATCCTTTCAAAGTTCAAATGCCATAAAAAGGAATCGAGATGTATGTTAGAAGTCATCAAAAGGAGCCCTTGTATGCAGTGGATTAAGCATCAAGTTGTTAACCAAAAGGACAATAGTTTGAATCCACCAGGTATCCCATAGAAGAAAGAGGAAGAGATTTGCTTCTGTAAGGATGTACAGCCTTGGGAATCTTATGGAGCAGTTCTATTCTGTCCTATAGAGTCACTAGGAATCAGAATCGACTCAACGGCAGTGGGTTGTTACTGGGGTTTTTTCCCCATCAAACAGCGGTGGGTACTCAATTATCCTATCTACCTGACCTTTGCTGCTCCAGTCTTCTTTGTTCTCCACTCCCAATCTTACAAACCACACGTTGCAGACCTGTGTCTCATTCAACTGTCTCCCAAACCACTCTAGTCCCTGCACCTAAGTTCAGACTCCACTTTCCCCAAGCTTCCTGCCTGCCCAAAGTGGGAGAGAATCAGTAAGCTGGAGATAAAACATAGGGTAAAGAAGGATAGGACTCTTGCCAAAGAACCTACCCTGCCTGGGGACAGTGTAGCCCAGGCTGTGGGTGTGGGAGCAGCCTGTTCAATGTAAGCAGGCCCCAGCAGGCACCAAGCACGAGGCTGAGCAAGCACCATGTGGGTCCTTGGTAAATGTTTGTTAACACAGGACCTCAACTCCTAACCTTTCAAGCAGTCCTCCAGAGAGAAAAGGAGTGTGACCCTGTTTACCAGGGCTTACGACTCAGCCTGCCCAATAGTATCTACGGAAAATAGGGGAGAGGTCAATGGAAACAGTCTAGCACATGCTTGGAACTATTCTGGAATCTGGGAAACTGCTGGGTCCCGTGTCTCTGGCTTTGTTCAGCGAGATCACCTGCCAGTGGGGGCAGGAAGCCAGACAAGGCAGCGTCCAAGAATAGTCTGGTCTTTCTGACATTTTGTCTTTGAGGCAGGACAACTGACCCCAACTGGTCATTCCAACCTTTGTCCTCCTTTCTCCAGTTTCATGGGAAATGAAATGTGTGTGTACAGAGGAAGGGAGAAGGGATGTAGTTCCAACTCCCTCTACTGTCTGGGATCTTTGTTCCTGGTCTTTAAAATCCTAGGTCTGCTTGGTAATTATGGCATAGAACAATGCTGTTATAAAGCATAATGTATAGGTATGATTCTATGAAGACAGTGTGACTTAAATTCCCCCCCCATATGATGTTGCTGTTGATTGCCTCTGAGTCAAGCATGACTCCTAACGACCCTATGAACAAAAGGCCTGAAGTCTTTCTGTAACTATCTACATTTATCAAAGTTCACAGTTTCTGGAGGCATGGTGTTTAGGAAGTGGATGTAAATTACAAATCCTGGGTCTGCTTTATGTGGGATTTAGAGAGTAGCTGTGCCTTCAACATAGACATGGATATAGATATATAGCTGAAAGAGTTAGGACTAGGGGTGTGTGTGTGTATGCATGTTTTGGCTGGGTAGATGTAGGAGAATTTTCAGTGTCTTTTATTTTTTTTATTTTTGATGCTTTTTCTCTCTGCTACAATCACAGGCTGCAGCACAAGTATGGGAAACCCCAGTGACAGGTCTTCTGGCCCATTCTACTTTTCTCACATAACACCGCAGAGCTAGAAAAGGAAACTTGTCAATCATCACAATTGCTCAATAACTCTGGAATGTTCTGTTTCTATTCCTGTTTCCTTCTCTGTTCTCTTGGCTGCTTCTGTCTTCACACACACCACACCCCAACCAGACTTTTAAGGTACTTTCTCTCAGTGGAATCACACTATTTCTTCAATGGGATCAGAAATATCCAAGTTTAGATTGCTAGGCTCTATCACTTGATGCTGTAGGAAATTCAGTTTGCTGTTGGGAAATTTCTTGGGGGTTTCCTTCCCATTTAATGGCTTTCAAATATTTTGTATGCTTGTTACAATATTGTCTGCTTCCTTATTCACTCTCTGTTCTGGACACGCATAGAGCCCGTGACTACTGCATGTCAAGTGGCTAGAACCAATCAGCTCATCTGGGCTTCCTCTTAGCCAATCAAAGCCGAGGGAAGTGACCTCACCCAAGGGAGAGCTGTGTGGGTGAGAAAGCATCTCTCAGAGCTTGAGGCCCCTAAGACACTCCCCTTCTCTCCACCCTCCTTACTTCCTGTAGCAATGTCACCTACCCCGCCACCCCCTCTTATCAGAGAGAGCCAAGAAAGGATTAGAAAGGCTAACTAAACATCACAAAGGGTAGAGCCAAAAGTGAAACTGTAACTCAGTCACACAAGCTTTTCTACAAGTGGAAAACAGGGTTTCCCCTTTGCGCTGCCGTACCTTGCACACTGAGGTCTCCAGGGGCCTGGAACAGGAGTGTGTGTGCACCTTCTCCTTACTCCCGCCCTGCACCTGGCTTTCTTGACTCTCACCATAAAAATAGCTGTAATTAATCTTTGTAAATAAGGACAAGATCAAGGTTAAGTGTGTGAAAGAGAAGACCTGTATCCCTGTGAACATGTGTCAACAGAGACAGCTAGCCAGAGGACCCGGGCCTCAGGCCAGCTGGTGTGCAGCCCTCACTGGGCTTGGGCTTTTCTCCTTCTCTACTACCCATTCTGCACAGCATGTGCCCTGCAGACTAGGAGCAGGTCTCACCACAAAGGCAGGCGAAGGGGCCAAGGGCAGGAAAGCTGTGACATCCCCACCCCAAGTTAGTCTCACTGGGCTCTGACAGGTGAGGGAAGAGAATGGCTCAGCAGTCTCATCATTCTTCCAGCTCTTTTCCCTCAAGTCCTCATCATGGATAGAAAAACAAAGAAAAACATTTTATTAAAAATATAAAACTGACCTTGCTCCTCTCAAGTGCTCCCACCCCCAGTTAGCTTCAAAAAGAGCTGTAAAAATGGGTAGTGGCTACGCTGCATTGAAAAACAAGGAACTCATGCAATATTATTCAAAATGGGTGACCCTGGAGGACATTATGCTGAGTGAGGTATCTCAGTCACAAAGGGACAAATGCTATATGGTGCCACTGTTGTAGAATAAGGCTGACATCAGGGTTGGGGTAAGACTGAGAAAAACTGGATAAATTATGTTTACTGCATTGAAGTCTATGAGGGAGAGAATAGTTTTAAAAGCATATTTTAGGGCATTATGTTTATCATAAGAGTACGGAATGAGGGTTGCAGAGTGGATTATATCTGGGGTGGGGGTGGAGTTGGGGGGTGTACAGGGGGGATTGTGTACCAATGAAGGAGTTTTTCTTTTGCTTTTCAAGGAGAGGAGTGAAGTGGGGGTGGGGAGAAAAGTGCAACAATGACTGAATGGAATTGCAAAATCTCTGTAGATGTTCATTGAAATTAATTAAAAAAAATTAAAAATTAAAAAAAAATGGGTAGGGGCAAGTACACGGCTGTCTCAATGCTAACAACCTCAGACTTTCTTCTTTCAATTCACCTTTTTTACGTTTATAAAATTAGGACATTGTCCTTTCCTTTTGTCCTTTCTGCAAGACATCAAAGGTGATACAAAGGTGTAGGGAGGGGAAAGACCGGGGGTGGGGGAACTGAGAGAGCCAATACCTGTTGCCATTCCCACTTGTACAAAAACCAGTTTATGTGGACTCTAAGAAGAGTTAGAAGAATGACTTTTCCACAAAATCAAATATTAGGGAGAGATATTCTTTGCATCTCAAGTGCAGAAAGAGATAAGGATCCTGGTTGTGAGGGCTGTTTTTCAATATATAGCTTCATCCATGTTGTCATCACTGTCACCCCCAAATTCTTCTCCATTATCAAAATATGACATAATGTAGTCGGTTTCCTAAAATGGGTAAAAAGAGGTAAAAGTTAGGCATGCTGCTGGCATTCTCCTTTTGCCTTATGTACCAGATCCCTTTCCACACCATTCTAGGCCTGAGCTTTTCCTGCCTGTGACAGCTTACAGGGGAGAAAAGCCTGTTGTTGTTGTTGTTAGGTGCCATCAAGACCAGTAGGACTCACAGTAACCCTTCAGACAACAGACCTGAATCATGTCTTATTCTGTGCCATCTTCACAATGAAAAGCCTGGGCACAGATGAAATGGCAGAGGGGTGGGGAACCTCTCTATCTTTTGGGGCACTATCTCCGTTGATCTTCAACCTTTTAATAAGAATACTCTTGATGGAAAAGGAGTTGAGATCCCCTGAGATTACAAGGAGAAGGGAGGGTGGGAGAAGGTCCTCTTCACCTCTTCATGTTCTTCTTCATCATATTCCTCCTCTTCTTCCTCTTCCTTCTCTTCCTCTTCTTCTTTCTCCTCATCTTCCTCTGAAGTCACTTCTTCCTCTTTCTTCTCCAGGGTCTTATGTAAAGACAAATGGGAAGAGATACCCAGATTCAGTTTTCAGAAGGGAAAAAATAAGGCACACACACCCCAAGGCAGAAGGAATGAACCTAGGACTCAGGTGGTCTTTATGTACAAGTCTTCCTCACTTCCAGTTTCTGTATTGTTTCCTCTTTATCCTCTGAGGTCTTAGGGGGCCTTTTGGGAAGAAGGATAGTGGTCCCTGTTGGGAAAATAAAAAAGTGAATTATCAGAAGGCATATCTCAGTGTTAGCCTAGCCTATCCCACCCTCCATGTCACTCTGCTGCCCTCATGTGGACATCAAGACACTCAGCAAGGATATTTAGAGGGTTGGGTGACAACTCTTAACAGGATGTTCTGGTGGCCTAACTGGGGAAGTAGTCTAGTAATCTCAACAATCTACTGAAGAGGGAAATCTTTCTTCTGCCATTTACCCAGATCTACTCACGCTCTTTCTGCAGTCTCCTCACCCGGATCTTTAGTTCCCGTGGTAGACGTCGCCAGTCTGGGAATAGGGAGAATGTAGACATTAGTAGGACCCTCCTTGAGGTCTCCTTTTAATGATAAGTGGTTTTAAAGGAAAGAAAGTTAAAAGTAAGGTAGGGAACCAAGAGGATGAACCAAAGATGCTCTGAACAAAGCCATGGCTAGAGTGCAGGTTTCTTAACAGGTCGGTTTTTCAGGTAGCCAGGAATGTTTAAGAGCACACATTTAAAGGTTCCAGTTCACAGACACTGTGGATAGCATGAGGGAGGGGATGGTGAGAAAATGGGAGCTCGTGAATGAAGATATTCCAAGAATCAGAAAGAAGGGTCAATCACCTACCAGGGTTCCAATCAATAGCATTGTCAATCGGCCCTGACATCTGATATTTGTCTGAGTATCGCTCCACATCTGAGGGGTCAGAGATCAAGAGTCAAAGCCATATCCTTTTAGTGCATATAACAGTGTTACTTCTAAGTTCTCAGGCCTTTCAAAACTCAGGGATTGTCTGTACATTTACCTCAAAACCAGAGTTCAGGGGATCAGCTTCAGTGTAAATATTGAACCAAACTATAATCCAAAAATTCTTTTGGCACCAAAAAGTACTGCAAACACACATACACTGTAACTGGTACTATATTATAAACCCCTCAAAACTCATGGCTGGTGAGTTGGAACCTACCCATAGCTGACCTTTTAGCAGGTTGTCAGAGGCCCTGCTACTGGTGGATTCAAACTATCAGAAAAGCTCAGCCTTTGGATCAGCTGAGAAATTCCTTCTGGATTGGGCCACCAGATGTCCCACTGCTCTTAAGCCAACTTGCCCCCACCTGATGTCATTGTGAGTCATTAGGTTTTCATTGCTGTTTTTTCCACCTTAGCCTGGAAGCTCTGTTGAATCCTGTTTGGCATCATAGCAACATGTTGGTCTCCACTGATAAGATGGTGAAGTTTGAGGTGAACTGCCAAGGACCTGAACTCAGGGCTCATACATGGAGGATGTGCGTTCTACACTGAACCATCACTGCTCCATTTAAAAATTAAAACGATTTTTTTTAAATTTAGCAAAACAAGTGAAAAAAGGTTTATTAAGGTAATGTAAGGAGGCATGGTTGGGGAAAGATTGAGACAGGCTGTGCAAAAGAATTAAAGACAGAAGAGAAGAAGAAAAGAGGGGAAACAGCCCTGGAAAGTAAGGGTGAACCCAAAACTTCTCGCTTACTGCTAACTGGAAGAAAAACTAGAAAAGCTTTTAAGTTTGGGTTTTTTTTTTCTCCTCCTCCCTAGCCCCATGGACTGCCTTGGGGAAAACAAACAGATTCATCCTGGAGAGGATTAAACCAGGCTGCTCCTTGGAGGCAAGGATTCTGGGGCTTCGTCTGACATACTCTGGACATGTTGTAAGGAGGGACAGGTCCTTGGAGAGGGACATCATGCTTGGGAGGGTGGAGGGACAACGCAGGAGGGGAAGACCCTCTATGAGATGAATTGATTCAGTGACTGGGGTAATCGGGATGGGTGTGTCAGAGGCAGTGCGACTGGAACAGGATAGAGCAGGCTTTAGGGCTGTTGTACATAGGGTTGCTATGAGTCGCAAGAGACTCGAGGGCACATAACAACAACCCTAGCCCCAAAGTATGGCTATCTTGAGAGGTAGTATGATAAAGTGTAAAATATGCTAGAGAGCAAGAAACCAAATAATGAAACACTAAATTTCCAACCAGTAAATAAATGTTCACTACCCCAAGCCTCCCAAATGTTCCCCTTCTCAAGTGCTGCCCCCCTTTTCCAGTCTCTTGATATTCTACTAACTAAAGGATTAACATTTTACTTGGCAGAGGTTCTCAAATACCCAGCCCTAGCCTCCTCTTGATTAGTCGATACTAAGCCATCAGAGCTCCCTACACGATATACAGGTTGTTAAAATTTTTTTTAACAACACTTTCTTTTCTCTCTCTCTCTCTCCATCCATTCATTCATTCATTCATTTATTTACATTTTATTATTTTGTGTGTGTGTACCGTCAAATTGGACCTGACTGGTATAGGATGAGATCGTCCCTCCTTCTCCAGCAGAGTATCTGGTGGATTCGAACCATGGGCCTCTGGGATTGCAGTGCAGCTTCTTGCCACTAGGGCACCAGAGCTCCCATTCTCTCATTTATGCTTGCGAAATGAGCACCATAATACTTCCCATTCTTCCAAAACTACTGTGAGACTCAAAACAAACTATGAATGCTGTACTATATTTTATACGCACAAATAATTATTATTATGATCTTCCCTGTCAGACACAGAGCTTCCCAAACCTCTTTCTGCTCCTCTGACTCTCAGTGGTGCAGGGCACAGTGTGCACTGCCCAAGAGAGGCACTCAGAACACAATGGACAATCTAACTGACCTCTCTTGGGGACGGCTGGTCGGATGAAGTAAGGGAGCTGCCTCATGGCCCCTCGTAGCTCCTGCTTCAGTGCCAGGACGTATTCTCCTTCCTCTCCGGAGGGCAGAGGCACTGGGCGGAATTCCAAGGGCTAAGGAGGCAGGGAGCAAATGGTCAGTTCACCATTAAGGACAAGGAAAAATGAGAATGAGCAGAAAGGACAGAGTATTCCGAAAAAGGAGGGGCTTGGGAATGTGACAAGTAAAGGTGGAAACGTCTTTGCCTGAAAAACTTCTCAAGTGAGACAGGGGGATAGAGACAGGGAGGATAAGAGAAGGCTAGTTAAACAATGGCCCCAGACATCCAACAGTCAGCCAGGGGCACTTAGGAGTCTTGGGAAGGGAGAGTAGACACTTACAGGAAAGAGTGGAGAAGGCTGCAGGGTGGGTGGAGGCAAAGCATCTCCTTTCCCAATGCCCACCGCCTCCATGTTGAAAGTCAACTGGCCTCGGCCTCGACCCCGGCCCCCACCCCGATTGGCCATGGTGGAGGGGGCCTGGGTAGTCAAAGATTTAGTGAGAGAAACCTGTTAAAGACAAAAAGAAAAAGCAAGCAATGGATAGGAAACCAAGGATACAACACACCTACTCTTCAAGAAAGCCATTCAACAGATTTTGACTGAGAGAGCTCAGTGTCAGGCAGGGTACTAGTTGCTGGCAATATAAACATAGGTGAGACACAGTCTCAACAGATAGATAATTGCATTATAGTGTAATGATGGCACAAAGGAGAGAGACAAATCCCTTGGATAAAAGCTCTCTAAAGGCTTAAAATAACTTAATGGTTATAATAATCTGCATTTCTACATATGACCTTTGACTTCTTTCTTTGCCTGTCCTTCCAAATCCAACTGGGCACCAATTCCAAGAATGCACTGATTTTCAACAAAGCATTTATGAAGTCACTACCATAAGAAAGACAGGGTGCCAGATATAGTAGGGGTACAAAGGTGAATTACCAGTCTCACTGTCAACACAGGGGAAAGAGAAATCACAAATAAGTTGATTTATTTAAAAAAAAAAACCCAACAACAAACCACCAAAAAAACAATAACCATCAGCTGAAAACACTAGCTAGACTAGAGGGAGCTCTGGTGGCCTAGCAGTAAGAAGTTGCACTGCCTCACAGAAGAAGAATGGGCAATCTTACCCATGCAATTGACTGCCTCAGAAAACCCACTGGAACGTCAGCTATGAGTTGGTTCTGATCTGATGCCATGCAGAAACCTAGAACAACAACCTGGCACAGGAACAGAATCCTAGAGTTGGAAGGAATATTTTTCTAGTTCAATACTTGCTCAGCTGGGGATCAGCTTTGACTCAATGACAGTCAACAACAACAGTTCAAAAGTGCAAGACTTCACTCTATAAGTTGCTAGTCATTTAGCTTCTGATGGATTTTCCTAAAGACAGGGTGGCTGTTCCATTGTGCTCAATTTTGATGATTAGAAAATTTCTTCTTTTACTTTAGTGAACTCATCTGTCATGAGGGACCAGGAACAGACAGCTAGGATAGGAGTTAATGTCACCAAATGAAAATAAGACTTCTAAGAAGAGAGTCGAGTGAAAGAGTTCCCAGTGGTAAAAGCTGAAACAATCTAAACAACAAAAAGAATAAAGAACATCCACTCCTCATTTATCAAGGGTCTTATTATCCAACAAATCATATTTATAAAAAATAGTTTTAAAAATCTACCACTTTAATATTTTCTTCATTTTTTAATTGTTGTTGTGTTTTTTTATTATTAAATTTTACTAATTTTAATGAACATTTACAGAGATTTTGGGTTTTCATTCGTTCATTGTTGCACTATTTTCTCTACCCTCCTTCCCATTTGTTCTTTCCCCCCCCCCCCGCCTTGAAAGTCTGTTTTAATTGTCCATCTGCCACAGTGCTTGTCAAAGCCAGTTCTGATTAATCTCCTTTGTCAGTGTGTCCTTTGCCATTCCCTATCACTCCTCCCTGAAAGAGACTTCACCCTGATTTGTAAGGAAAAGGGGATGGCGTATTCTCTTAGCTACTTCCTGCTGAAAAGGGACGCTGTGGGTTTCAGGGTAAAGATCTTCTCTCACTACTCTAAAGGGCCCCTTTGGCAATAGGAAACACGTAGACTATTGTGGAGATTGATTTTGGAATTTAGATGTACTGTTATCAATTGTGCTTAGCCGTACATGTTCATATCCTTGAAGATGCATTTTTTAATAATTTACAACTGACAGTAACAAATCCCAAGCTCAAGGGAAGTTGTATTAGATTCAAGGTTAAGATTATGTGTCAGCTTGACTGGGTCCCGGTTCTCAATGCTTTAACATTATATAATGATGTAGTCATCCTCCATTTCTGTGACTTCTTGTGGTCATTGTCCAATTTTATCTAACACTCCTTTTTTTTTGTAAAAAAAGAGTCTTTGGAACCTAATCATGTCAATAAGTGAGGAGTGGGTATAGTATTATTAGATTATAATCTAAAGTACCAATAACTATCCATGAGCCCGCACTGGTATAAATAACTGAATAAATGAATGTGTGAAAAGAGACAGCTATTCCATATGAAATTCGAAATAAATTATATAGATACTTCATTCTGAATACAATTAAAATGCAATGATAATTACTAGTGACTGGAATGGGAAAGCTGGAAACAAAGGAGAATTGGTATTTGGAAAATATGGCTTTGGTGAAAGAAATGAAACCAGAGATTGAATGATACCATTTTACAAGACCAATAACTTATTCATTGCAAATATCATTTTCCAAGAACATAAATGATTACTAGATCATGGACTTTGTTGGATGGAACACATAGGAATCAAATCTACTACATCTATGGAAAGAGACATTGAAAAAGTTAAATATCATCAGTTGGAATAAGGCCAGGTGCCAACTTTGGAAGAGACTATCAATTACTCATATGCAAATTCAAGTTGAAGCTAAAGGAAATGAAAACAAGGGCTAAAATAATATCTTGAGTTTATCTCACTTGCATCTAGAGATTAATCAAAAATAGATTTGATGTATTGAACACTAATGACAAAAACCTAGGTGCATTGTGGAAGGACATCAAGGACATCAAACATGAAAAGAACAAAATGTCATTAAAGAGACAAGAAAGAAAAAGAAAACACCAAAATGTATATCTGAAAAGACTCTTAAGGTTTATTTTAGAATGCACAGATGCTAACACAAAATGAAGAAATGATGAAGTAAGAGAAATGAATAGAAGAATTTTAAAGGTGCCTTGAGAAGACCAAGTATTATAATGAAATATGTGCAAAGGCCTGGGGTTAGAAAAACAAAAGGAAAAAAAATAAAAAAAAAAAAAGAAAAACAAAAGGGACCAACAATGCACTGGGCCTTTCCCAAGCTGAAAGAATTGAGGAAAAAATTCAAGCTGTGAGTTCCAATAGTGAAAGATTCTACGAGTGCAAATACTGAATGACAAAAGAAGGAAGGACTACACAGAGTCAATGTGTATTCAAAAAGATTGATAAAAGTGTAATAAAAAAAGACTGATTAATATTTAACCATTCCTGGAGGCAGTATACGATCAAGAACTGACAGTATAGAAGGAAGAAGTCTAAACTGTCTTGGATGCACTGGTGAATAACAAAGCTACAGGAATCAATGGACTACCAACTGAAATGTTTGATCACACAGATGCAATGATGGAGGAACTCTCTCATCTATGCCAAGACATCTGGAAGAGAGCTACCTGGCCAGTTACCTGGAAGAAATTAATATTTGTAATCATTCTTGGTACCAGGAGCCAGGAAATCAAGAGATTAATTGCATTGGGAAAGTTGGCTGTCAGGGACCTCTCCTCCAGAGTGCAAAAGAGCAATAAAGTCAGTCTAGAGACTAAGGTGTGCCTGATCCAGGCCATAGTCTTTGCAATTACTTGCTATGGGTGAGAGAGCTGGACAATGACTAGGGATGACAGAAAGAGAATTGATGTCTTTGAGCTGTGGTGCTGGAGAAGAGTATGGAATACACCATGGACTGACTGCCAGGAGAACAAACAGGTTTGTCCTGGAGAGGGTGAAGCCAGGCTGCTACTTGGAGGCAAGGATTCTGAGGCTTTGTCTGACATACTTTGGGCATGTTGCAAGGAGGGAACATTCATTGGAGAGGGCCATCATGCTTGGAAGGGTGGAGGAATGGAGAAAGAGGGAGACCATCAATGAGACGGACTGATACAGTGACTGGGGTAATGAGGGTAAATGTGTCAGAGACTAAAGTTGGCACAGGATAGACCTTGTTTTAGGGCTGTTGTACATAAGGTTGCTATGAGTCACAAGCAACTCAAAGGCACATAACAACACAACAACAACAACCATTCCTAAGAAAGGTGGCCCAACAGACTATGGAAAATATTGAACAATATCATTAATGTACAGCACAAGTAAAATTTCACTGACATTTATTAAAAAATACCTGCAATTGTTGACAGGGAAAATTCAATTCTGATTCAGAATAGTACATGGAATAAAGGTTATTATTGCTGACACCAGAAAGATCTTGGCTGAAAGCAGACAATATCAGAAAGAGGTTTACCTGTGTTTTTATTGACTGTGCAAATGTATTCAATTGTTTAGATAATAACAAATTATGGATACTACCAGAAATTCCAGGCTGCTCCTTGGAGGCAAGGATTCTGGGGCTTTGTCTGACATACTTTGGACATGTCGTAAGGAGGGACAGGTCTTTGGAGAGGGACATCATGCTGGGTAGAGTGGAGGGACAGCGCAGGAGGGGAAGACCCTCTATGAGGTGGATTGATTAAGTGACTGGGGTACTCGGGATGGATTTGTCAGAGGCAATGAGACTGGCACAGGATAGAGCACGGTTTAGGGCTGTTGTACATAAGGTCGCTATGAGTCGCAAACAACTCGAAGGCACATAACAACAACAACAACCAGAAATCCAGAACTATTGTGTTTGTGTGGAACATGTCAGGAGGTAGTTATTTGAACAGAACAAGGAAATATTTCATGGATTAAAAATAGGAAAGTGTGTATTGGGACAGTATACTTTAACATATATATATATTCAGTCTCGATGCTGGGCAAATAATCCAAGAAGCTGGAATATATTTAAAAAAATGTGGGATCAGGATTGGAGGAAAATTTATCTGCATTATGCAGATGGCACAATCTTGCTTGTTGAAAGCAAAGAGGATGTAAAGTAGTCATTGATAAAGATCAAAAACTACATAGACTTCAGCATGGCTTATACACAATATAAAGAAAACAGAAATTATCATCACTGGACCAGTGGGCAATACTGAAATTGATGGAGAGAAAAGAATGAAGTTGCCAAGGATTTCCTTTTACTTGGATCCACAATCGATGCCTATAGAAGCAGCAGTCAAAAAATAAAAATATGCATTGCATTGGGCGTATCTGTTAGGACCTTTTTAAAGTGCTAAAGAATAAAGATTTCACTTTGAGAACTAAGGTATAACTCATATTCATGTGAAAGTTAG